CTGATTCCTTTGAGTCTCATTTGCGATGGCCCGTTCTGATCGGGCCTGCTCTGCACAACACTCATCCGCCCCGGTCTGATCAGCACCAGACTAATCTGATAGGGCCTGATTCCTTTCGGTCTCATCTGCGATGGCCCGTTCTGATCGGGCCTGCTCTGCTTAACCCTCCCGGCCCCGGTCTGATCGGCACCAGGCTGATCTGCTCGGGCCTGATTCCTTTCGGTCTAATCTGCGAGGACCCGTTCTGATCGGGCCTGCTCTGCTTAACCCTCGTCCGCCCCGGTCTGATCGGCACCAGGACTGCTAATCTGCTCGGGCCTGATTCCTTTGAGTCTCATCTGCGATGGCCCGTTCTGATCGGGCCTGCTCTGCTTAACACTCATCTGCAACGGCCTGATCGGCACCAGGCTGATCTGCTCGGGCCTGATTCCTTTGGGTCTAATCTGCGAGGACCCGTTCTGATCGGGCCTGCTCTGCTTAACCCTCCCGGCCCCGGTCTGATCGGCACCAGGCTGATCTGCTCGGGCCTGATTCCTTTGAGTCTCATTTGCGATGGCCCGTTCTGATCGGGCCTGCTCTGCTTAACACTCATCTGCAACAGTCTGATCGGCACCAGGCTGATCTGATAGGGCCTGATTCCTTTCGGTCTCATCTGCGAGGACCCGTTCTGATCGGGCCTGCTCTGCTTAACCCTCCCGGCCCCGGTCTGATCGGCACCAGGCTGATCTGCTCGGGCCTGATTCCTTTCGGTCTAATCTGCGAGGACCCGTTCTGATCGGGCCTGCTCTGCTTAACCCTCCCGGCCCCGGTCTGATCGGCACCAGGCTGATCTGCTCGGGCCTGATTCCTTTGAGTCTCATTTGCGATGGCCCGTTCTGATCGGGCCTGCTCTGCTTAACACTCATCTGCAACAGCCTGATCGGCACCAGGCTGATCTGCTCGGGCCTGATTCCTTTCGGTCTAATCTGCGAGGACCCGTTCTGATCGGGCATGCTCTGCTTAACCCTCGTCCGCCCCGGTCTGATCGGCACCAGGCTGATCTGCTCGGGCCTGATTCCTTTGGGTCTCATCTGCGATGGGCCGTTGTGATCGTTCCTGCTCTGCACAACCCTCGTCCGCCCCGGTCTGATCAGCACCAGACTAATCTGATAGGGCCTGATTCCTTTCGGTCTCATCTGCGATGGCCCGTTCTGA